TTGAGTTTAATCCCTGGTACTACAAAAAGAAAAAAAGAGAAAAATAATTTTATATCATACTTATATCATAATTTTATATCATATAAAACTTATACAGACAGAAAACATAATAATGTAGTCACTCCTTATTTTTTTCTTTTTTTTAGTTCTATAACTGTCACACTAACTCCATTAATTTATTTATTCATTCAACTACAATTTTGTAGGTACCTACTATATACTTAGTTCTAATCAAAGCATTGGTGATAGAATAATAAGACAGAGTTTTAACATTCTGGAAGAAGACAAACCATAAATAAGTAAAAAATAAGTTCCAGAGGTGGCATTTACAAAAAGGCAAAACTAGGTGTTGTGTAAAGGTCTTTTCGACAGACTATCATTGATATGGGGCTGAACAACTGACAGAAACTACTGAATATTTGGTAGAACAGCAAAGTTAAAGATCCTTTTTTTTTATAATATTAATAAGGCAAAAATGATGACTATAGAGTATAAGGGACAAATTGTCAGACCTGAAGTTGGCGGAGGTCAGAAACTATTGGACAATTAGTAGTTGAGGAGTTTGGGCTTTATTATGATTGCAATGAGAAGCCACTAGACAGTGTTATGATATGATCTACTTTAGTGTTTGAAAGATCACTAGCTACTATATGCAGAATGCATAGGGAGTGTTGAAGAAGGCAACAATAAAAGCAGGGAAATTAGGTTCTTAAGTTATTATAATTTATTACTTTATGTATATATGCACATATTTGCTTTAATATTTTATCATGGTTGCCTTGCCATTTCTTTTCAAGTTACTTATGCTTTATGTGGGCAATCATATTAAGTACCTATAATTCTTCAACATAGGTGGGTTGATTTTCCTTTCATCTCTTGTCACTTGGGTTTGATGGATTCTTAGAATATATTACAGCAATTAGTTTTATTTACACTATGGATGTCACTCTATACTCAACCCAGATCTTACGCACCTCTCTGTGTAAGATCTTTCTCCAGGCCACAGAGTCCAAACACACAATATTGGGAGGGGTCATGTCTTTTGGGACTCTGGGTGCCAGTTTCCCCTGGGCATTCACTCCCTCAGATGATCTTATTCTTCCTATTTTCTTGGGTCTTCCCTTCAACTAAATCCTAGCATCCCTGGAGATAACACTCTGGATTATTAAAAACCAGAAAAGCAAGCCGTAGTTCTTTTTATTTCTTCAGGTTAAGTTTTTATTTTGGTACTGGGCTTTAAACTCAGGGCCTCATGCTTGCTAGACAGGCACTCTTACCACCTGAGTTATCCAACCAGCTCCTTCAGGTAAAAAAATAAAAAGAAAAGTTAAAGTAAGTAAAAAGTTAAAAAAGAAAAAGCAGTAAGGAAAAAATTGTTCCTTGAGGGATTTTCCAAGTCTTTTTCCTGAGTTAATATTTGTTGTTTCAGTTTCCATTTCTCTAGATTGGAAAAAATTAAGTTGAACACTCAGAATTCTAATTAATATTATTCCTTATTCTTCCTACCACCATACTGCTTTCAGAAGAGAATAAAGAGAACAGTCATATTCATTAAAGAGATTGAAAAATCTACCATGAAATTTATATGGAAACACAAGAGGCCACGAATAGCCAAGGCAATACTCAGTCAAAAGAACAATGCTGGAGGTATCACAATACCTGACTTCAAACTATATTACAAAGCAATAACGATAAAAACAGCATGGTACTGGCACAAAAACAGACATGAAGACTAGTGGAACAGAATAGAGGACCCAGATATGAAGCCACACAACACAACTATAACCAACTTGTCTTTGACAAAGGAGCTAAAAATATACGATGGAAAATAGCAGCCTCTTCAACAAAAACTGCTGGGAAAACTGGTTAGCAGTCTGCAAAAAACTGAAACTAGATCCATGTAGATCGCCCTATACCAATATTAACTCAAAATGGATCAAGGATCTTAATATCAGACCACAAACTCTAAAATTGATACAGGAAAGAGTAGGAAATACTCTGGAGTTAGTAGGTAGAGGTAAGAACTTTCTCAACGAAACCTCAGCAGCACAGCAACTAAGAGATAGCATAGATGAATGGGACCTCATAAAACTAAAAAGCTTCTGTTCATCAAAAGAAATGGTCTCTAAATTGAAGAGAATACCCACAGAGTGGGAGAAAATATTTGCCAGCTACACATCAGACAAAGGACTGATAACCAGACTATATAGGGAACTTAAAAAACTAAATTCTCCCAAAACAAATGAACCAATAAAGAAATGGTCAAGTGAACTAAACAGAACTTTCTCAAAAGAAGAAATTCAAATGGCCAAAAAAACACATGAAAAAATGTTCACCATCTCTAGCAATAAAGGAAATGCAAATTAAAACCACACTAAGATTCTACCTCACCCCTGTTAGAATAGCCATCATTAGCAACACCACCAACAACAGGTGTTGGTGAGGATTCAGGGAAAAAGAAACCCTCTTACACTGTTGCTGGGAATGTCAACTAGTACAACCACTTTGGAAAAAAATTTGGAGGTTACTTAAAAAGCTGAACATTGATCTACCATTTGATCCAGCAATACCACTCTTGGGGATATACCCAAAAGACTGTGACACAGGTTACTCCAGAGGCACCTGCACACCCATGTTTATTGCGGCACTATTCACAATAGCCAAGTTATAGAAACAGCCAAGATGCCCCACTACTGATGAATGGATTAAGAAAATGTGGTATCTATACACAATGGAATTTTATGCAGCCATGAAGAAGAACGAAATGTTATCATTTGCTGGTAAATGGATGGAATTGGAGAACATTATTCTGAGTGAGGTTAGCCTGGCCCAAAAAGACCAAAAATCGTATGTTCTCCCTCATATGTGGACATTAGATCAAGGGCAAACACAACAAGGGGATTGGACTTTGAGCACATGATAAAAGCAAGAGCACACAAGGGAGGGGTGAGGATAGGCAAGACACCTAAAAAATTAGCTAGCACTTGTTGCCCTTAACGCAGAGAAACTAAAGCAGATACCTTAAAAGCAACTGAGGCCAATAGGAGAAGGGGACCAGGAACTAGAGAAAAGGTGAGATCAAAAAGAATTAACCTAGAAGGTAACACACATGCACAGGAAATTAATGTGAGTCAACTCCCTGTATAGCTATTCTTATCTCAATCAGCAAAAACCCTTGTTCCTTCCTATTATTGCTTATACTCTCTCTTCAACAAAATTTGAGATAAGGGCAAAATAGTTTCTGCCGTGTATTGAGGGGGTGAGAGGGAGGGGACAGAGTGGGTGGTAAGGGAGGGGGTGGGGGCAGGGGGGAGAAATGCACATATGAATAATAAAACAATAAAAAAAAAAAAGGGAACAGTCATGCCAATTTCCAGAATTTGTTTCTTTTCTCTTCCGTGGCTGTCATTTTTCAGATTGTGATTGTAATTCCATGCACAGACTCCAATACTGTGTTAGGTATAGAGGATGTCTGTCAATAGGCCTGGATAATCAACAGGTTAGGAGAAAAAAGATATCAGGAAAAATTTAGGGCATAAAGTTTAGGAAAGCCACAGAAGGTAACTACTGGATGAAACCTAAGAGGTAATCTATGGTAGTAGTTTCCAATCATGGCTATGCATCTTGCTAGGCCCAAAAATGTAGTAAGCAACTGTAAGTACTATATGGTGCCAAGCACTTTTCTAAAACTTAACATACATACTTACACAGACACACATATCTCTACAACCAAATGAGTTAGGAATTAGTATTATCTCAATTTAATAGATGAAATTAATCAAAAGAGGTTTAATAACTTGTGCAAACATAAATAGCTGGAGAGCACCAAAATCAGAATCCAAATTCAGGTAATTTGGATATAATGCCCAGATTCCAAAATAATATACATATTATCTCTACATACCAACAATCTGTCTTGTAAATTTACACTAGAGCTGTAACCAAAATACTGAGAAATATAGGCCTCTCATCTTCTAGAGTAAACAGTATCATTTTCATTGATTTTATTCAGTTATTTATTTACTGAATGATTATAGTGCTAGGGATGGAACTCAGGTCCTCACATATTATAGGCAAGGCTTCTGCCACCGAACCACATTTCCAGCACAATTATCATTTACTAATTGCTTATCTCACTTGATAATCTCAAAACCTTGTAAGGTAAGTATGATTATTTCAATTTTAAAGAAACAGTTCGTGGGGCATGATAGTACATGCCTGTAATCCCGGGACCCATGAGGCAGGAGGATAATGAATTCCATGCTAGCTTTGGGCTACATAACCAGTTCCAGACCAACCTGGATTTTGTCTCAAAAAACAGCTAAACAGACAAAAAAAGAAAAGAAAAAAGTAGTTTGAGGAGATTAATCAAGTTGATGGCAGAGTCAGCATGGAAGTCTGAGTCTCAAACTCTAAAACCCTGGTTATAATGGTCATACTTCTCTCTGTACAACTGTTTTAATGCAGAATGCATTCCTTTGTATTAATAATTTAACTTTTGCCTGACTTCTATTAAATTCCAAATAAATTCTCTGTGACATATTGCAATAATTCTCTTTTTATGAATTGTCTGTTAAAAATCTATTTTAAAGAAATTGCTTAGGCCAAATTTTACACATAGAATGCTAAAGAATAATTCTGATGGCAGAAGTTCATGGTTGGAATTATTAATGTTTGAATTAGGACACACAGGACTCCTCTAGGCATGCTATAATTACTAATTTTGTAACAATCTAGTTATAGTAATAAATAGCTAGTTTTAGCCAAACCAATATAACTTAACACATTATAAAAGATAATTAAAATCTCAGCTAGGAAAATTAATACATACACTGGAATTCTTTTATATTTTAATACTCAGCTACTGTCTTTAACCTTTAGTTTATGAAAGCTAGTAAAAGACAAACTCATACCACCAAAAAACTTCTATTTAGAAGGGCCAACACTTCAGGAAAAAAATGAATTTATAAAGTAACATATTTCTAGAAACACGTACTTACTTCTGCTTTTTTACGAGCTTCCATAGCTTTCATTAGCATCATGTGTTGTCGTCTTCGCTCTCGTTCCTAATAGGCCAGATAAAATTAGGAAAATAACTCAACCATAGTTAACAGCTTGAATTTGAAATGGAAAACAACAACAACAACAACAACAAAACTCAATATAGCATGTTTAGCATTTATAGACAAATCACAGTAAATACTAAATATAAGACAAGAATGGCCAGTCTGTGCATGTTTTAGTTCAGGTTTAGAAAGCAAATACGAGAACAATCCAAAGCAAAAAGGTAAAGCAATGAACATGGAGACAGTGTAAACAGAAGCATACAAGATTTACTTATGGTCAGTTGTGATGCTCCTTCAAAAGCTGGCAGAACAAAAAGCATAATGGTTGGCTGGAACAGGTCAGTTACCTTACATCTGCTATTAGAAAAACCACAAATACTTACTATAGCCAATTGAACTAAAAGTTGTATTGTTCTCAAATTTTGACATGAGGCAGAAATGGTTTTAGAATTGGTTAGATTTATTTCAAGCAAAATGATTTTGTAAATTCAATAAGCCACCAACAAATTATCAAGTTTTTAAAATTATTTATACTGAATTACAAAGTTAACTAGTCTTGGCTCTTATACAAACACCAATGAGATGTGAAATTCCTATTTACTGATGTCTGCCACTAGATGCACTGTTTAAAGCAACAAAAGTTGCATCATGGGCTAACACAGGTATCATGTAAAATGCACAGCAAGAAAATGAGATAAGCACTAGCTTAATTTGATAATCTCATTTTAAAGTAAAAACAATCACATATTAATAATATCTAGTCAATTTCTTAGTTTAAATATATTTGGTCTCCCCAAAGGGATATTCTTAAATTTGTCTATAAAACCAGAATGTATTTCATATTCTCTCATCAAGCAAATTCAAAATTCCCACTGTATTCAATGGCAGTTTTGCATCTACAATGATGGGAGAATATGGTCATAATTATATCTAACTGTATACTAATTCAACTTCCTTACGACATCAGTAATGCACATTTTTAGCCTTTATTTAAGGCTTTTGTAATTCAATGAAAAGTCTTAACAGATGTATCATACTTCTTATTGACAGACAAGCAGATGTATGCAATGCACTGTGCTGTAAAGCCATGCAGCAGTATGTAATATGACAGCAGCCAGTGCTACACTTTATGCATTGCTATGACAACCATATCACAACCAAATCACAATGCGGTGTTAGATGTACAAAAATAAACATACCCATACCATATCTAGTCTATGCCTCTCCAACTCCTGGTAGAAAGAGTTGGCACAACATTATGAAACAGAAATCACAGAGTCATAAAACCAATTTTCAACCCCCCAAATGACACCAATACCAAAGCAAGGCAAACTGTAAGATGAAGGGAAAATTTAAGCAGGAATAATATCAGAAAATTTAAAGAAAATATTTTGAAGATTATTCCCCAAATAGGTCTAAGTAAGTTACAAGTACATTTCAACAGTTGCATAATTATCTTTATACAGACCTGATGCTTTAGAAGAACAGCTTGTTGTCTTCTCATTTCTTTTTCCTTAAAAATAAGAAACTTTTAATATGTGATTTTTAGGGAAGATTTGGAACATATGAAAAGTATTACAGGTTCCCTTTTCTGAGATTTTGTAATCCTCTAACAGGATGAACCACACAAAATGCCACTATTCAACCATTTTTAATTATAAAATATCAATTCGGTTTGATATGGTTCTATCTGACACTTAATATAAAAACTGTATGATACAGTAGCAATGATTTTTCTTCAGTAGACATTTCAACTTAAAAGTCAACGAATGACCTACCAACACACTTTAATGGCACATTCACTAAATGAACTAGACTGTCAGAACATATCAAACACAAATCACACATGTACACTTAATACATTATGGTGTAACAGCCCAAATTTGGCTTATTAGAACTCTTCCCCATTCTGAATATGAACTCCCAAATATGCTCTATAATTAACAGCATCTATTACATTTCTGTATGAATGAAAGTGATTTTGGTGATCATATTGAGATTTCCATACCCACCTATGGAATGTTATTTCACAATTATTATAAAGGCAAAATCTGAATGAAATTAATATCAAGGATAAATTATAAAATGGGTAGAAATCTACAGAATAAAATAGAGTTTATATTTAAAAGATAACAAACAGGAGTTGGAGGTAGCTCTGAGGTAGAGCTGGTACTTAGCATGTATGAGTCCTTAGGTTCATCTCTAGCACAACACTGACTTCCAACTCAAAAGGGAAAGAAAGGAAAGGAAAGAAAAGAAAAGAAAAAAGAAAGAAGGGAATAAAGAAAGAGAAAGAGAGAGGGAAAGAGAGAGGAAGAAAGATGGAAGAAAGAAAAAGAAAAGAAAAAAGAAGTCAACCAGTTCCTGGCTTTATAAGGTGTAGTTGTGCTGGCTGTATCCAACACCAGGAGGTTCACTCAGGTGCCTCCTTTCAATTCAGTTATCCAAAGTGGAATGTAAAAGGGAGGGAGGGAGGGAAGAGAAAGAAAATCTCTCTTCTGCTTCATGCCATGAAGTCATAATCAAAAACACATCCAAACACTTTAAATTACAGTAACTGAAAATGGCTAATTTTATTGTTAATAAATAACAGCTAATAAGAGTTTTGTTTTTGTAAACTTTTGTTTTGAGACAAGATCTTGCTCTGGACCCAGTCTATCTTCAAACTTTAGATCCTCCTTGTCTTAGCCTCCCCAAGTGCTGGGAGGAGAGGTTTGTGTCACTATGCCTGGTCTATGATTTTAATTTTTAATAAACAAAGCAGGTATTGGACATTAACAAAGGGAGAGTTGTAAGAAGAGGATCAGATTTTGGACATAGTTTGGAACATAAACATAAATGACACAAAATGGCTTTGGGGAAATCATTCTTATCAAGCAAAGTTATATACAGGTTTATGCAATAGCTTGTATTTCTGATTTGATGTTTCATATTTACAGAGCTCAAAGCATCACATAAAACCTGTATAATGAAACTGAAGTAAAGATTTTACAGACAATATACATATAATAAAGCACACATTTACACATGTTATATCTGCTAAATATATTTTTAGATGGTCATTTTGAGGAAAGCTAATTTTTTCACATAATTGATAATGTGTAACATGGTTTTTATTTTTAAAAAATAAAAACTCGATTCTCATCTAAACTAACCTTTATTCGTTTCTCGGCCTCCAATAATTTGGCATTTGCCGCTTCTTCCTTCTTTTTCTTTTTAGCCTGTGCATGCAAAACAGGTCTCAAAGTCATGCAACAGCACCACTAAAACTTGCAAATTATCTCAGACTTGAAATGAAGCTCCATGTCTCACAAGGTACAAAACAGTATGACATATATGCGGACAATTACAGATGTTTGCCCAGGTAACACATTTAACAAGGTCATTTTGTTTCTCATTTATAGATCAGCATTTGAATATACAAAAAATTCTTAAATTCATAAGAATGACAGCTTTTCTTTTACAAACTGTTAAAATCTGAAACAACTGAGTGTTTATGCTGCTTTAATCACAGAAAAATGATTTTGTTATTTATTGCCTTTTTCTGATTTTAAAAGAAATATATAATCTGCAAAATATTTATAAAACAGGATCAATTTTAACTGATAAGTACTATTTCAAGAATAAATCAGTAACATTTAAAAATGCATATATCTACTTTATTTGAAATTTCTTCTTGTATCTGACATTTTTGATAAATCCATTATTTGGCTATCCCCAAGTGATTTTTTTAACAGAATGGAAACTTGTAATCTTTTGTGAAGCACATTTTGACTATCAAGATCATGCTGTAAATGTGAGCTTCATAATCTTAAGGTCATTCATTGTCTAGTACTTTCAAAACTATCTAGTAGCTACTGTCAATTTACTTTTAGAAATATTTTTGATTTGGGAGTTTTAAAATTAACTTGAAATGGATAAGAGAATATGTGTGTATTTCTAGAAGGGAAAAAAATCTTAACATAGAAAACCTCAGTTGTCTGAAGGCATCAGGGAATAAAATGTTTTATAAAGCAGAAGTTTCCTAAATAGTTGAGAGATTCTAAGAATTTTATACATTTAAAGTTTATTTTCACTACTTTAGATGGAAATAATTTTGAGGCATATGCCTGGTTAGATGCAGAACATTAAACATAATTTATCTTTTTCTTGATGACTCAGGAAAATTATTGTGAACATCAGTTATTATACTGTACAATTTGATAAAGCAATGCCTTTAGGCTCTTAAGGTGTTGAAAACTGCTGGCTAGTCAACTAAAGGATCACAAATTCTTCCTGTGCCAGTTGGACTTTTTCTGTATCTTCCTTGCTATCTTTTGGCTGTCACTTTTGCTATTGCCAATGTAAGTCCTGTATCGCTATTTCAGTTAGCTTGCAGGGAAAAGAGGTATGGTAGAAACCAGAAAACCACATTACTAAAACTTCCTGTATTTAAATTTAAATTTTACTTTTGGAATGTTTACTTTCATAAACAATTGTTTATAAATTATACAAATATCTGACTATAAATCCTAATGACTTTTCTAAAAGCAAAAAACATGAGTTTCAGTACCAGAACTTTTATGACAACGACATTGGCTGCTCAAAGGTCTATTTTTTTTCTTTTGTCTCATTTCCTGGCTTTTTACTGCTAGGATTAGATGATCTTGCTAAACAAGGTTCAAAGACAGTCTTATTCTATGCATTAGGTTTAAAGAGGTTTCTGATGGACATATTAATATGTATTGGTGTGAGAACGACAAAATTCTTCTTTGCATAGACTTAAAATATATGACTACTTTAAACATGTTAAATTTAATAATTCTACCTCCAGAATTTGCTGGGCTCGAAGTTCTTTTTCCATTCTGATTTGCTGTATTCTCTTAATTTTTTCCTGTAGAAAAAGTTATGATAAATTGAGATGATAAAATAAACTAAATTATTTAGGAAAAAGTGTTTAACTGGAATCAAATAATTTAAGAAACAAGAACAAAATTATTCAGCTATCCATGCTGGAACCAAAAATTTAATTATTTATTGTAAGAGCATATATATTTTTATGTCTTAGATTCATACAGAAACCAGATTAACTCAAAGGTGATTAAACTTATATAGTCCAAAGATCTACAAATGTTGCAATTATAAATAGTAGTTAGTTTGAAATAAATATAGGATTGAATAGTAGAAAAAACAGTATCTCCAGAGTCAGAAAACATAAAACTAATTGTGGGTTTCTGATATTTCTTGAGTGATCTTGAGCAAATAATACCTATTCTATAAAGTATGTTAAAGTGCTTGGCCTTTCTTGCTTTCATGATTAAATAAAAAGTGCTTTACAAGGCACATAGTGACACACTGTAAGAGATTATTGTTAACAGTAATTTCCATTCTAAAGTGTCTTATTTCACATGTTGAGTAACATGTTCATGTGACATTGCTTTTAACTACCACAGTAAGCCTACCTAGAAATGATCTGTAACATCATTTTTAAATGCATTAACTCCAATGTACAAATGAAAGGGGAATTATTTGCAGAAATGGTGTATACAACATCTATATTTAATGAACTGGCTTCTGGTTGTGTTTTTTAATTAGTAGTGTTCATATTTTGATAAGAATTTAAATTTTGATTTTAAAAATTGCTGTATATGCTGAAAGCATATATTAATAATTTCATGTTTAAAAGTTCCTTTTGAAAGTCCCTAATTGGTATTGAGAATACATAATTCTTAAAAAAAGAAATACCTGAAGTTTCCTACTTCAAATTATATTTGTCCTAGAATGTCCAGAACAAACTCACTTTATACTGCTCTATATGACAAGAACTGTTTCAATTTCCAGATGCAAGCTGTACCTTTTGAGTTTTACTCACTATGTATTCTTCTATTATACACTGATTCCTTAAGGGGATCTATTGAATAATAAAGTTATTTTCGGAATTACTGTCCGGGGGATTTCTGAAGCACTCGTTGGTTTTGCTATTGGTGATCTTATGTCAGTACTAAATATTAAATATGGGTTACCAAAACAACAAAACCCCCCGAGTATATCTTTTATGTGACTTCGAAGTCTTAGAGAAGACTGATCCATATTTCAAGTATTTTTTTGATTAGAACTTGAGATCTAAGAAAGGCATACTCTTGAATCAGCAAAAGTCATCCACTATTCTCTTATGCACAGAGATTGGCATTCTGAATCTTGGGTTAAAATGATCTGGACTTGCGTATACTCAGTCTAAAGGGTTCTGTCTTAATTGTCCAAGTTACCTATATATACTGCAGATATTTAGCAATGCTGTCATTAGTATATAGATAAACATTATTTACAAATTATAATATAGGTCCACCTATAGTATTGAGTATACAAACACTGAGTTGGTCACTTTACATAAAATATCTTTTTTGGGGGGTTAGTACTGGGGTTTGAGCTCAGGGCCTTGTGACTGCTAGGAAAGTGCTCTACCACTTAAGCCAAACTGCTAGCCTTTTTTTGCTTCAGTTTATTTTCAGGTAGGGTCTTGCTTTCGTTTGGGGCTGGGCTCAGACCATGATCCTCCTACCTATATCTCTTGTGTAGCTGGAATTACAGGCATGCTCCACCACGCCTCATTTATTTTGAGATAGGATCTCACTAAATTTTTGCCCAAGCTGGCCTCTCATCTCCTCCTAACACAAAGCTGGGATTATAGGCACAAGCAGCCATGCCTAGCTTTAAGGTTTTAATAAAAATTTTCATTTCTGAAAAAACTTGGAAGTAAAGACTTGATTTTAATAGAGGTGAAATTTTAATAGAAGACAAGTTTCTAAATAAGACACATAACATCAATATGAAATACAGTTTTCAGAAAGCAAAATAAGTGAGGGGGCATAGCTCATGTGATAGAGTGCTTGCCCACTAAGCACAGGCCCTGGGTTCATTCCTCAGTACCAGAGAATATAATTAAATAACTAAATAAAATAAAAAAGAAATCACAATAAAAATTATGTACATGTATAAGCACATCAAACTAAAACCAATGTTTTTAGTCAGTTCCAACGCATAAACATACCTGCTGTTTCATAATCTTTATCTGTTCTTTTTGCTTTCGTTTCTCCTCTGCAGCCATTATTGCTGTGTCAAAAAAAAAAAAAGAAAGCGCAGATTATTATCCAATAAGCAATAAAGAAGAGAAGCCTCTTATGATTTCCCAAACACTCACTTAGCAAATTTACCTCATTTAAATCACCTGCCCTTATAAGCACGAAGCTCTGAGTTCAACCCTTAGTGCTGCCCAAAGAAAAAAATAGTAATCAAACTACCCACCTTGTTGTTTTTTAGCTTCTTTGGCAACCCGAGCCTGTTCTTGCTTTTGAAGTTTTCTCAAAAGCTTTATTTGTGCCGCTTGCCTAGCTATTTCTGAAAAACACAAAATTTCAAAGGGTGTTACCGACAACTTTACAAAAATACTAACTAAAATAATAATATTTAAGAAAACTCTTAGGCAGATACCAAATAGGAAGTAGTATGATAAAAAATGTCAACGAATTGCTAAATTCGTTGGCCTATGTTCTCAGACTGAAACAAGAGGGACTGTGAGTCAAAAGACAGAAGCGGTACATAGCAAGACCCTGTCTCAAAAAAATAAAAAAAGTAAAAGAAAGAAAGAAAAGTATTTAGGCACATATTAGAAAAAGAATCACTAATAAAAGTGGTATCTCTCTTAATCCTCATCAGAGGCTCATTTAAATACATTTCTCACATTTCAAGTAATCCCCACTTAGTAGGAAAATAGCTGCTACTATTTAAGAATGGCAATTTAGCTTCAATCTTAAAACTAAAAAAAGTGCCAGGAAGAGGAAGACCCTAAATTAAACTGAGCTCTCCTGCCAAATTTATTAATCAATTAGTTATACTAATGGTGAAATCCCTGAATTCAGCAATATTTTCATGTATGACAAAGAGGGACTAAATCTCCTAAGAAGAGTGATAAATGTCAGTGGGTTTAAAGGCTAATACAGTTCTTACAATTTTCTAGGACAAAGGGAAAAATTTGGGGGTAGAAAGACATAATTAATGGTCCAATTTTTCATTCCTCCCTCTGTCCATGTCATTTGTAATGTGATGTTGCAGCAACTCCCATCAAGAGGAAGAATACATTTTCCATCTCTTGATTCTGAATTTAGCCTCACAGTCCTCTATGATCAAGACAGTGTCAGTAGCTGTAATGAAGATCTTGGAAATGTACATGTATGTTTTCCTATGCCCTGCCTGTTACTAAAAGGACATGCGTAGGTGAGGCTCCAGACACTGAGACACATGGAGTCAATTGGCCACATATGTGAACAGCTCAGCAAAGCTGCACACATCTGTACAAGAGATTAATGCTTAGTGTTGTATGCACTGAGGTTTGCTGTCAATTTTATCAGCCTTTTTGTGGATAGGGCTACAACCAATACAGAAGCCATGTAATATTGTTAATTTTTTCTGCTGGCAACTTGGTCTGAATACTTCTAACTCTAAAAAGTGGTGTATTATAATATCACTCACAAACACAGCCGGCATGTTATAAACTTTATAGTTGATGAAGAGTATAAGGAACCTATAAACTATATTCATTGATAATGAATATGTATTTCTACCATTTATTGAATTCAGGCACTTGTGTTAAATTTACATGGTACTATTTAAGCTTTACAACTGCCGTCCAGTGTACAAATAAAATACATAAGGCTCACGGAGCCAAGATGCAAACCCAAGTTTTTCTGACTCCATGGACTGTATACTACTACTTCTAACAAGCTTCAAGCAACATTTGAATGCCTTGAGTTTTAGCTAGGAAGTTAATCCTGTGTCCTTGAAATAAATGAACTTGGGTACTAAAGCTAATTTTCTATCATAAAGATTTTTTAAAGGAGCATGGAATGTAAAAAGTATTGTTTGATTGGTTTGTTTGTTTATTTATTTATGAGACAGAATCTTGTGGTATAGGCCAGGCTGGCCTCAAACTTACAATCCTCCTTGTTTCTACCTCCCAAATGCTGGATTATAGGAATAGACTACCATGTTCTAATTTTACCTTAAAAAATGGAAATGTTAATGCAAGATAAAACATAAGTGATGCTAGCATTCATTTCTATATTCCAATAACTTTCAATATACAGACATTAAAGGTATCATTAAAACTTTCTGAGTTGCACAAAAAGATCTCCTGTATATGAAATACTTTGGAAATAAAAACCTCTAACAGAGTTAGCAATTTCTGATAATAATATGCCTAAAGAATATGACTCTCTTTAAAATAATGCCACAAAAATACTTCTTTAATACTTAAGGGTTTTCTCAGAATTCTGATATAAAGGCCTAACTCTGTGTTAAGACAGAAATAGGTGATAAGGGATTAGAAAAATGTTTCCTAGAAAATGTGACATAAGTATGATCTTTTGCTCCAAACTAAATTCTTCCTCTAATACAACCTTGACTTTTAATAAATAAATATATGTTTGCATATGAGTGTTATCAGTCAATTTCATACCCCACACAAATACACAGTAACTTTTATTTTTAAACCTTTGGATGGAAAGACATTAAAAAGTTCAACTCATAACTTTTCACCTTAGCAAGAAACATACAATTTTGATTAATCGCTAAAAATTTATATACCATAAATTTTACATTTTGAGCAGTTGAAAATGTGACAAAAAGGAAAAAACGAAAAAAACAAAACAAAACAAAACAAAAACCCAAAAAACCCAGAGCTGCAATGGAGCAAAGAAAATGCATTAGAGATGTAGAAAAGTTCAGCTAGGCTCTGAGACTAAACCACTCCCAGTATCTTCTCCTTTGTTTGGTTTATGGTTCGCTGAATATATCAATTAGCTTTTCAAATACTAATTAGTACAAGAAATTATCTGTGCTTCAATTTCAATGATAAATACTCATTTTTGAAAAAAGCTTTTTTATTTGTCTATGGCCGTACCACCCTGAACACGCCTGATTTTGTCTGAAATAAGCTTTTTTCACATCAGCGATCTTCTAGACATAGCTCATTTCTTTGGTTACAAGATAAACTTTAAAACATTCTAACATCTCTAACATCAGAATGTGTCTGACAATCAGAAGCACTGTTTCCTCTTAGAGGTACACCATAGATGGTGCAAGGCACAGACTGCATGGCATCCCAGATTCTATGGCATATGACTTGGAGAGGTGCTATTTGATATTTTGGAAAATTTAAGATGTTAGCAGTATTGGTCAATTAATAAGAAGGTTTATTTATAGAAAATAAAAACCTTAATCATATCCACACCTTGTTAAGATTTTTTAATCTAGGAACTAGAGTTCTCACTTCACAATGTTTGAACGTATATTCAAAACTTGTATTTAACTCATTGTCCTAAACCAGTTTTCAAATTAAGTCCAGTGTTTCATTCTAATTGAGTCCGAATAGGATAGCAATAACAGAAACTTCTAGAATCCTTTCAAATAATCTCCCAGACTGGTAGAAATAAAAATTTTTAGAAATAAAAGGAGTGATAAATTCTTGCTGTCATTTCTCCCCAAGAAAAAACATATAAACACTGTATATACTTATAAATATGAATAATTATTTATTGCTAGATACAAACATTGAGAAGGAACACATTTACCCAGTAAGGTGAAAAGTAAAAGAATGTGCAAAGTGCAACCCATTACAGTGAGGGAGAACCATGTAATGGAATAAAAATCAATTTCAAATCTAGGAGGAGAATAAAATCCTGGGTAAAGCAGAATAATTAACTTATATTCTGATATAATAGAAATACAGTAAATTTTTACAAATTTAAACTTACCATTTTGGCTATTAAGTAATTAATAGTTGTATTAGATATAAAAATATGCATGAAGAGCCTATGTTTTATTAGTTCATTTCAAAGTTATTTTATGTAAACAACACACGTATTCCCTCTACCATTACACATTCTTCTGAAGAACTGATGGTTTATTGACAATATTAATTTTTAAAACTCATCTATGTCCGCTAATACATTCACTTTGTTTTTAACTTTGCCTAACAATTATTTGGGTGAGTCTGAAGTCTTACAAGAAGCCAAATAGAGTAATATGAAAAGTAAAAGCAATTTGACTAATATGTTAAGGCAGAAGAAACCATGGAGGATATTAGGTTATCTGCTAGGCAGTTAACTTGCATGGTATTGGTCAAAGTCTGAACTGCTGAAACTTTGTTGGAGATAGTATTTGCCTGCTATCTATCAAAATTGGAAATAGTATGTACAGTATACGTGCAACATATATTTAGATACATGTAATATATATGTATTACAACACTGTGACAGCAAAAAACATAAGTAGCTTGAACAGTCACTGAAAAGAGACTGAAGTGTGCAAAGCCACACTGGTATCACTTATCATTCAGACATTAAAAGACTGAGATGATTTAGAAGCACTAACACAGCAAGTTATTCAAGACAAAGTGTCCATTTATTTTAGAAATCAAAAGGGGTACATAAGTGAGGCTTGAATGTGTGTGCAGATGTGTGTACACATTTCTCAAAGATAAACTAAACCTGTTGATGACTCTATCAACAAGTAAGAATGACAGAATTTTCATTTTAAAGTATTGGGTTCTATGAGCTTTTATGGATATTTTTTGCAAAATAGAAACAAAGCAGCAATAAAGAATTCAATATTATGATAGCATTCACAATGAACAGAAATAAGTATTTCAGGCATTTCTTCCAGATTTTGTTGTTTATTTACAGAGATAGTAAAAACAACAAAAACAAAAAACTCATATGAAGTCTCTAAAGCCAATTTTCATTATTAAACCTTTAAATCATCACATACCCATTAATACATGTTCGCAAATATAAGACATTTGCACAGGTGATATATTCAGATAACCTTAAAAGCCTTCACAATTATAAATAGTAACTCAAACTTCATAGCAAAACTATAGTTATACTATAGTATAACTATGAACTATGTATAATTTTGAATTATGCACTCTAAGCACTTGGAGCTTGATAAATGATACCTTCTTGACCTTAAAATACTTCTTGATATAAACCTATCAATTGAATATTCTGAAAATATATTGTATATTCACAGTTTAGGAGAACCCAAACTAAAAGACTAGGGTTACTTACCAGTAATTGGAGTTCTCTGACTGGCAATTTACTCCACAGATCCACATATTTTGGAGTTATTCCCACGTACCACCTCAAGGAACCGGGAGCTGTTAAAAGGAGAATTTCCAGAAGGTTGGCACGACCTTAAGGCATGTGCCAAGTGCTGGTTGATTCCCTTTCTGAGCAAGACTTAATAGCTTAACACCCCCCTTTGTAATTCTGAATATACAGGGTAGGATGCGCTTTTAAGTATGGCTCTTAGAAAATTACCTAATCAAAGAACTCCAGTTACCAGTGGGACTCCTTACTTTCTCACTTTATTCTAACACAAATACCTACTTTTTAGAAACCGAGAGCAGTGTCAAACACTCCTAAGTCAAAAATGTAAGAAATATTTTTATTAGTATACATTTTAGTATGATTATCACAGATAATTATTATTTCTTACCTTGAGCTTGCAGTTTTCTTAGTAATTTGGCATCTGTGTTATCCAGGAATTCAGAATTGCCAACATTTGGAGGTCGACCTTTGCGACGTTTCATCCTGGATTCCTCTCTTGCTCGCTGTCTATCTGGATTTGGTGGCCTTCCTCTGCGGCCTTCCATTGCCCTGATACGAGGAATGACATCCTCTTCTTTCAAAAGACACCACTGCATTCCCTTTTAATTGACATTTCATAGAAATAATATATTACAAATAATAAAAACTAGAGATCAGCATATCAGAAAATTATAGGTAAAATCAGATATTTTGAAATTTGTAAAGCTAGTATAAAAAACATTTAGAGATTTTATTTTTTAAACTAAATTAAGATTTATAATTGTTCATAGCTTTTGGCAAACTGTTAGAATTACTTAAATGACTTAAACCTGAGTTCAGTGTATTTGGAGAGTTGTATGTGGATCTATAAACTATATCTTAATCACTATTTCTGAAGTATAATGACTATTTATGAAGTATAAAGTTGCAGATGTTGAAAATATTAGTTGTGTGTTGAGCTCTCTAAGGATTGTTCTTGTGGGTTTATCAGTTCAACCAAATCATTAGGCTACCCAAATAATAGATAACATTTCTTTTTCAGTTAATAAATAAAACAAAATATCAGCATTTTGTAATACCTAATAAATTAATATGTCAAAAACTGAAAAGGTCTACCTATCATCAAAAATGCTAGCCTTCCAGTAGAGGCTCATACTATCACCTGTAATAAAGTACTCTTACTCTCCCCCCGCCAACCCTTCCCCAATCAAACCTGGATTTGATTAAGATTTAATTATCATAACTTTAAAAGAAGACAGGGCAAGAGGTAAAAATAATAGCAAAATCCAGCTGTAGGAAATTCTACAAATGACCTAGTTTCTTCAACGAAACAAAACAAACCAAAAAAACCAAACTATAGGAAGATTAAGAGAGCCTTAAAAGATATATCAATGTCAATTTGCACTCCCTACTTGTATACTGATTCAAATACAAAGTGTTTAAGAAAAATTAAGCAACTGAAAATTTTAACAATGACTGGCAGGATCTGAGGCTATAGTTCAGTGGTAGAGGGCTAGCTTGGCATGTGCAAGGCCCTGGGTTCAGTCTCCAGCACTTCCCCCCACCCAAAAAAAAAGTTCTTAAAACTTCATCACCCTTTAGAGCTGGTAGAGTGGCTTACGTGGTAGTGTGCTGGCCTAGAAAGCATGAGGACATGAGTTCAAACCCTAGAACCTCCAAAAGAACAAAACCAAACCAAAGAAACAAAAAAGAAAAAACCGCAAACCCAAAAACAATGACTGGCATTTGATGGTATCAAGAAATTATTAGTCATGTGGTCATGTGTCACTTAATGATGAGGATATGGTCTAAGAAATATTACCTAACCTATTTCTCCTATAGACATAATAAACCAAATAACATGAGATTAAATTAAGTTCAAGAGAAATCAATGGGGGTGAGGGGCAAGGGGGAAATGACTGAAACAATGTATGCACATACGAATATATGAATAAAGAAAAAAATAATAAAAAATAAAATTGAAAAAAAAAAAGAGAAATTAATGCAATCAAGGACAAGGTAAACCCAAGTTGTATGAGGTTGCTTTCAGTGAAACATGGGATACTGCTTTACAGTAATTTTTTATAAGTAAAGGAGTACTCTCTAAAATAATAAAAGGTTGAGTACAGTCAATTCATACCAGTAACAGTCATATATTATCACAATCAAGTATTATGTACTACACATAATTGACTTTTATGTATTTTTATATTATTTCTAGGGTAGGCTTGTCACCACAAACTCAAGAGTAATATGTGGTTCTATGATGATCTTTGATGTTACTATGGCAACAAGGCCACTAGGTTATAGGAATTTTTTCAGCTCCATAGGATCACTGTAAGGAAATCCACAGTTGATATTTTAAAGTATGATAATGGTATAATGCTTATATAGAAAACCAAGAGTCTTTATTTGTTAGTCACAAAACATTAACAGATTAAGTAAGATGTATATGATTTGCTTTAATAAATTGTGGAAGGGGAAAAGTAGATGAGGGTATATGTAAAATCACCTTGGTCAGAATGGTAATTATTAAAGCTGATGATGTATGTTATTCTATCAACTTTTGTATATATTTGACATTTTCCCTTAAAATCCTTGATAGAGCACACATACCCCTCCCACAAAATGCTAGTGCCTAGAGTCTGAATCTGGTTTTCATATATCTTGAATATGTCAATCAAAATAAATGCATTACACTACCTTTTTATAGTACAAAATAGTGTGTTCAGATATAGGAGAGAGGTATCTTTTAAAATAATTGTCTTACTGTAGTGTTAAGGAAATTTTTAAAATGTGTTTTTTCTCTTAAAAGAATCCTAAAGTAGGAATTTCTCTTGAACCACTGGGAAAAATTCTACAACCCTAAATAATCAAAAGTTCTTGAATTTCATATATACTTTTTTTCTTTTTAACTTTTCCTTTGGTGCTGGGGATCAAACTCAGTGCCTCATACATGCTAGGCAAGCACTCTATTACTGAGTTCCATTCCTACCCCTTGAGTTATATTTTATACAGGAATCTATGACTATCTCAGCTGTTGAGAAGTAAAAATACAAATACTGCTACTTGGTATCATAATGGAAAACAGCTATAAACCCATATTTCTAGGCATTGTGCTTTGTATATATTATGTAGTATATACTTTCTTCACAACATTTTTACTTGACAACATTTTCACTCATATGACAGTTTTTATTGTTCCTACATTACAACTGAGAAAATTCCGGATGAGGTCCTGAATTTGAGGGGTCCAGAAAAAGCAAGGAACATAACTGTGAATCAAACTCCAGACTGTCTCACTTTGACACTACATGCACTTGTACTTATCTAATATCATAAAGATATTCTTGTACTTAGTAAATGGCTGGTTACAACATTCAACCTTGAAAGCACAGCCAAGTTCATATTAAGAACTATCTTAGAAGAAAATTAGTATACACAATTTATTTGCTAAAAATATTATCTATACTAGTAATTTTCAAGCTAAAATAACTGTCAAAATTTATTCTGAAAAAAGGAAAATATTTCTAAGAATTCATATGAAGTCAAAAGATATATCAAGTTATATCAACAGTTGTATCAAGTACATTTTTAGGCCATAAATAACTACGAAGAAACCCTTCAAAACAGTTTTATGATAGGGTAAGTTATGTTCACCAGCAAGGGAAGCTTTTAGCTTAGGTTTTCATTTTTCTAGTATGCTCTTAAGCACTATGGTGACATGTACCCCATAAGTTGAAAAATATTAAACTGACATTTGTGACATAGTAGGAGAGACTAATAAAAAGTAAATAAAGAAATCTACATTCAGTTTTTAAAGTAACTTATTAATAGGCAAACCAATTTTTGACCAAGATTTAAAGGGTTTTATAAACTTACCTTTTCTTATCCAGATCTGTATTTTACATAGGTATGTTTTTATTTAGCTAAGAAAATATACTTGTGGGAAATAAAAAAAGGAATGGACTATGTTGGTGCACAAACCTTATAGTGACATTATCACTCCCATTTTTGCCCTTGACATCTGGAAAGTAAATTATTTCTAAGGAGTCAGATAGATCTTCTAACTCATAGATTTCAGAAAATGAGAAAAGGATGAGTAGGAAAATCTGAAGCTTATACTGACTTTAATTCATTGAACAGTCAAAATAATTGTGGGTAAGATCAGATAGAATTTTTCACAGTAAACTTTTTCTGAGAAAAAGAAATATAATTTCTATCCTTGTTTCACGTGCTACTAGTTTTTTGAGTCAGAAATTACATATCAAAAAAGTTAAGTTTATGTGAGGCCCTGCGTTCGATCCTTAGCACTGGGAAAAAAGGTAATTTTTTTTCTTAATATCAGTATATATTTCCTGGAAACAGTATTTCCTTATGAAGATTTTAAACCTATGGTGCTGGATTTTAAACCTTTGATAGCTCAAGTAAGTGACAGAGCATTTGTCTAGTAAATGTGAGGCCCTAGGTTCAATACCACAAAAAAGTTTTAAAATATATGTACCAAAAGAAAATAGAGGCTGGTGGAGTGGCTCAAGTGGTAGAGCAGCTGCCTAACAGGCATTAGGCCCCGAGTTCAAATCTCAGTACCACCAATGGGGGGAACTTGAAAGAAAATAGACAATCAACATGATGGAGACTGTGAAAGATTAAATTTATCCTATTATTAAAATTTCTTTTTCAAGAGTTATTAATTTATACCCTGTACATTTTATCTCAGAATATTGTATAAAGTGATCAAGGTTTTAAAAAAGACTATAAGGTATTATTTAAGTAGTCCTTACTAATTAAATAATTTCTGAGCTACCTCAGAAGGCATTGCATTATCTAAAGGTGAGCTAGAAAGAGTCCCTCCCCTGAAAGGAACAGCATTTTTAACAAGGACTTCAGGCTCAAACTTTTAATGTAGGTGACTCAAGAACCACACTATAAGTAGTTATATATTGGAAGAAGATTTTATAAATTAGGACAGGAAGTTGTTCAGTTATCCATATAAAAATACTAGGGTCTGGGTTAGGGCCTGGGAAATCAGAGATGGAAAGGAAAGTAAATACACTGGTCTTTTTGGAAAGAGAACTGACTGGAATTGAAGACTGCCTGGACATGAAAGGGGAAAGACTGACTATAGACCAGAAAGGTGATTAATTTAGTCTCTGGGCAATATGGAAAGAGAAACAATAATGAAGTTTTCTTCCTGAACAAAGTTAAGGTACAGAATGTAGAAAATTGGCAAATAAATTAGTTCTTTTAATTTCTATGACTTAAAGATTAAACAGAGTGCTAAAGAAAATATTTATTTTGAATGAATGAATGGTTTTAAATGTTTTGTACAATCAGAAACTCAAAGAGCTGGGTGCCAGTAGCTCACGCCTGTAATCCTAGCTACTCAGGAGGCAGAGATCAGGAGGATTGTGGTTCAAAGCCAATCCCAGGCAAAGAGTTCGTGAGACCCTATCTTGAAAATACCCAACACAAAAAAAAGGATTGGCTTAAGTGGTAAGGCACCTTGCAAGTGTGAGGTCCTGAGTTCAAACCTCCATACTAACAGAAAAAAATTCAAAAGACATGTTATGAAACATGTCTTCCAAAATTTTTATTACTTTTCATAAATGACACTCCA